CCTCCAGTTTTTATTGTAAATATCGTAATTAAAGCCATCCTGATTTCTACCTGTCTAGTACTGATTTAGTAAATGATAACGGTTGCAAATCCCCACTGTTTTATCATGTGTATCTCTCAGTAACTTGGGAACAAAGATATTTGAGTCCCGGATTAGTACTCTTCCTGCGGGATTCGTACACATTTATAAAATCCACTATAGCGTTAATAATGGTACTTTCGAAATTTTGAAGATTAAGATCAGGGCACATAGGAAATCATCGGGCGAGTATCGTTCAATTGTCGTACGGAAGCTGTCCTACACATCTAATCCTGATATGACTTACTATTAGTATGTGCTATTGTGTTTTGTAAGAACGTCATCACCGACACGTGTTGTCCCCAAGTCACTAATCTGGTGCTTTTCGTGGAGGGCTCTGCTGGGAGACTTTCTGTCCCCAAGGTAGACAGTTATTTTGTAACTCGATTAGTTCTGGAAAGGTTTACAGGAAATTTTTAGTTTAAGAGAAAGTTTTCTGTTGTAGCCAAAAGTTGCAAATTTGAAACGTGTCATATGTTTCGGAACAGTGTAGAAATGGAGGTTTTATTCGGTTGACCTTATGTACCATTGACATGTCTTAAAGGGTGTTTTCCTTTTTAATGGGCGTTTCCATTCTTCGATCTTTCAACAAAATGAACAAGATACACTAACTTGATTTATAATGTGATTTAGCCAATCACATCCAATCTCACACCCAATCACACCCAATCACACCCAATGTAATGAATATTGCCAGATGATAGTGACACACACTACACACCGGCACTGACTAAGGATTGCTAACCCTCTATCAGAGAGGACTGACTTCCTACTATCCATACTATACTGATGTGTACCAGCCACAGGACCAGCCCCCCTCCCATCCCTGTCACCAGTATGTATCTCTGTCTCACATACTGATGTGTACCAGCCACAGGACCAGCTCCCCTCCTATCCCTGTCACCAGTATATACCTCTGTCTCACATACTGATGTGTACCAGCCACAGGACCAGCTCCCCTCCTATCCCTGTCACCAGTATGTACCTCTGTCTCACATACTGATGTGTACCAGCCACAGGACCAGCTCCCCTCCCATCCCTGTCACCAGTATATACCTCTGTCTCACATACTGATGTGTACCAGCCACAGGACCAGCTCCCCTCCCATCCCTGTCACCAGTATGTACCTCTGTCTCACATACTGATGTGTACCAGCCACAGGACCAGCTCCCCTCCTATCCCTGTCACCAGTATATACCTCTGTCTCACATACTGATGTGTACCAGCCACAGGACCAGCTCCCCTCCTATCCCTGTCACCAGTATGTACCTCTGTCTCACATACTGATGTGTACCAGCCACAGGACCAGCTCCCCTCCTATCCCTGTCACCAGTATATACCTCTGTCTCACTGATGGAATGTGAAAGGTGTATACAGGTACGAGACCACTCTATAACGTATATGATAACAAAACATGGTTTTAAGCTACCAATTTATCCAGAATCTTCCTTCGAAGTGAAGTGAAATTTGTCTTTATCATAAAATATGGTTTTTAAACTTTACAACTTCGGAGTCATTTAAGGTTTGAAATGCATCTTTTTAGCATTTATGAGGGTATGTAACACAGTTCCGTTCAAACATTAGCGCATCTTGGTGAATATGTTTGAACGGATCTGTGTTACATACTAAATGCTAAAAAAATGCATTTCAAACGTTTTTTTTGCGCTCATTTATATCATCTTTTATTATTTGAAATTAAGAAAAAAGAAGTCTTTTTTCACGTTAAAACGTCATGAAAATAATATCAATTGAACAGCCTTTATCGCGGGAACGATGATGCGTTGACAACGATGAGGAAATACACAGTTGAGCAATAAACAAATAGTTCCACTTTGCAATTTTTTTTTTAATTTAATTTATATTACCAGCATGTTTGACCAGCATTGATTATGTTAGATCTTAACTTAAAACAAAAATATCATGTAAAATATTTTAGTTGCAAAACTCAAAAAGGATGAGTGTCTATAAGGCCCTTTTTTGGGCCCCGGTATATTCGGATTTCACTTCCTTATTTTGTTCAAAGATGTCCTATTGTATGACATGCAGAAAAACTAAGGTAAATCTTCATTTACATATGCTTGTCTAATTTATACATGTTTTCAAAACCAGAAATGATATTATTTTGGTTTTTAAGCTCATTTAAAAAAACAGCAAACTATAATTGTGATTTACCCTCCTCCTTTCGGTACCCCCAGAAACCCACTTTCGGTCAAAGTTTTACCTTAGTTTTTCCGCATGTCATACAATAGGACATCTTTGAACAATATAAGGAGATGAAAATCAGAATACACCGGGGCCCAAAAAGGGGCCTTATAGACACTCATCCTTTATTCCGTGTTCGCGGAGATAGCTGACCGTTAAAAAACCCGGTTGTGCAGCTGCTACGCTTTCAACGAGATAGAAAGTGCATCCATGAAATGTGGAGTTTCCTAAGTAACCAGATGACGATTTAAAAGATGCTGTTGGCTGAATTATTGTGTCAATCGACTGTGTCAACAGAACTAGTTCATCGTTTGAGCATTCGGCATGTGTTACTGTCGATGAGGGACTGGTCGACGAGCCGGGACGATTTCACTTACTTCGCCACTGGCAACGTTTCATTTCATATCCTAGGGAAACGTCCGCGACGTAGCTGTCAGACATATACGCTGGAGCACAGGGGACAAATGTCTGTAGATGGAGTTAGCACACGACGTATTTAGATGCTGATTGGTTTTGTTTCACTTTGGTTTAGTATTGTTTAACGTCCTATCAACAGTTATGGTTATTTAAGGACGACCTCCCCTGTGTGCAAGATGCATGCGTGTAGTGTATGCGTGTGTGTTTTGGGAGGCTGCGTTATGTTCGTGTTTGTCTCCTTGTGATAGCGCGGAACTGATGCCGACTTTATAGTGCTACCTCACTGAAACATACTGCCGAAGACACCCAGCATGACACCCCACCCGGTCACATTATACTGACAACGGGAGACCCAGTCGTCCCACTCCTAAATTGCTGAACGTTAAGCAGGTATAAAAACTATCATTTTTACAGACTCTGGTATTGAATGTATTTTTCATGTTATGAAGATTTAACACAAAAAATGGAGTGTACTCTAAATAAAGCGGTTTACGATGAGAGTACACTCCGGTTTTTTGTGTTAGAGCTCCATAACGTAAAAAATATATTCAAGTCAATTTTTATAATTTAATCTACTATGAACAATCCCTTTGGAAATCCACTGATTATTGATGGACTGTTTTCTCTTAGAAATAAGTACCGCTGTATCAGCCAATCAAAAGCGACGTTACAAACGGCGACGTCATTTTTTCACGTCATATAGTCACCCTTCAATGGTGAAATCCATACTCGCCTAGTGTAAATTTCGCCATTTACCTATAATTACTATAAAACGTAATCTGTGTACTCATATTTGCTGCCATGATAAATTCGCCTATATTGGGGAGGGAGAAAAGATGAAAATAAAACTGCAACGATTTGCAAGTAAACAGTATTAAAACCTATGTGAGGATGCTAATAACATCTCTCAAAGAAACGGAAATATTGGAATTATATTAAGTCCACTATGTAACACACATAGAAACCATCGGGTTCACAGTCAGAATGTACGCTATGTTAATAATAGGTATACAATGTTGTTGTACATTTGACAGGACATGTACTCATAACTCTGCCATAGTTACCTGGACCTGTAACTACATTATACTGCTCACGTTGGAATAATATGTAATCAATGGGGATAGACAATATCAAAGAACTGTAACGTGTATCATTGCTTTATATTTATTTATTTATTTAAAATATGATATTTCTTATAAAACAGTAAACTAATTAATCAAAGACAGAATGAGATAAAACGAAATGTATCGAAGCCCCCGTATGAGAGTACAACGTTGCTAACGCTAGTTAAACGTGATCACTATTGGTAAAACCTAAAGAAAATGTATACACAACATCACCAAGTTGATCAGACTATCATAGGATGCACGAAAATGTATACACAACATCCCCAAGTTGATCAGACTATCATAGGATACAAGAAAATGTATACACAACATCACCAAGTAGATCAGACTATCATAGGATACACGAGACAGAATGAGATAAAACGAAATGTATCGAAGCCCCCGTATGAGAGTACAACGTTGCTAACGCTAGTTAAACGTGATCACTATTGGTAAAACCCAAAGAAAATGTATACACAACATCACCAATTTGATCAGACTATCATAGGATATACGAGAATGTATACACAACATCACCAAGTTGATCAGACTATCATAGGATACACGAAAATGTATACACAACGTCACTAAGTTGATCAGACTATCATAGGATACACGAAAATGCATACACAACGTCACTAAGTTGATCAGACTATCATAGGATACACGAAAATGTATACACAACATCACCAAGTTGATCAGACTATCATAGGATACACTCTACTAGCTTTAACCCTGTGACTTTATTACCTATTTTGCACATTAAACAAACTTCAAAACATAAGATAAAGAGGACTGGAAACCAATCTAAGAACTCGTACTAATTCCTCTCCTCTAATGGACATTACGGCACAGTCTACATTTGCACATATCAATGATGACAAATGGACAAAACGATAACGATATATGGAGATGTAATTATTTTAAAGAATGAATATAGCACATCTGCCGATACTCTAATTAATGCATTATAGAGACTGTTATCTTGAACTCGGAAACACAAACATGTGTCCAGGCAATGGATTGTTAGGACCCCGTTAACATGAACCCTTTAAGTAGTAAACTGTATAATAAACGATGATCAACTACCTTCTTAATTGTTTATGTCTACATATATAATTACATATCTGAATTGCGAAGTCTTTACAAAATTAAATCAATGGATGTTAAAAAATATAGTTGCTTAGTTTCACTTACCGATTGTGTAAGATCGGATTCCAGAAATTGAAATCTTAAACGTCTCTGGTACGTCACAATACAATGGAGCACCACTTTAAAAAGGACAATATTTCATTTAGTTGGTAACATATATACATCAAACGATGTCTGAACCTTCCCATTTAAATAGAAATAGAAAAAACATAAACCTCTGCAGCATGGCATTTGAAATGGACAGGCAATTTTACTTAAATAAGAAACTCACACACAAATGCCTAAGTATTTTTTCTGAGTAGATATTTGAGACGTAGCTATTAGAGAGAACGCGCGCGTGCCATTGTATTACTCACGGTCCGTCTGTGCGAAACAGGAACTGTCACACTTACCGGGGACCGTGGCATGGCGAGGGAAGACCCCACAATGACTATTATTCAGCTGACTACCCACTTCAATGTAATTGTAGAGCGATTTACATGTAAATTAGCAGTTGTCATTATGATACTTCGTTACTTCCTGGTATCTGAAAGTGGTGTTTGGTGTGGAATAAATATGTAGGAGTGTGGTTGTCACTCATTTTTCACTACGTCACTTCCGCTGTGATCTGATTTAACTGAAATACTACATGTTTACTTCCGAGAAAAAAATCGAAGATAGCATTCTGACCGAGAAACACTTTCATTTTACGTCAAACAGTTAGGAGAGCGTTATTTCCCTATGGTACACGTGCATAGGTACATCATGGTACTTCCTTCTTAAGTTTGGGAGCTGGAAGGTGTTACATTTATAAGAATGGTTTGTTTGGAACGACTTTATTTCCCTCCGAAGAGAGGAAAGTAATTTATCATCTAAATTAGTAAAACAATGAACGAACTAAGTATAGTCATTGACCTTATACGAGTAACTGTTTTACTCAGTAGTAAGGTTAAGTTAAAGTGTAATTCATTATAAAGTACCGAATCGCTCGTTAAGTTATCGCTAGGTGTAGTAGTTAGGAGGCCTTGTGATAAGCGTAACATTCGATGGTATGTTTGGTTAATGGTTTATATGTATGGTACACTGGTAGTTTATGTGTATGATACACTGGTATGTTGGAGTGATAGTTTATGTATATGGTACACTGGTATGTTGGAGTGATAGTTTATGTGTATGGTACATTGGTATGGTGGAGTGATAGTTTATATGTATGATACACTGGTATGTTTGGTTGATAGTTTATGTGTATGGGACACTGGTATGTTGGAGTATTAGTTTAGCTGTATGGTACACTGGTATGTTGGAGTGATCGTTTATGTGTATGGTACACTGGTATGTTGGAGTGATAGTTTATATATATGATACAGTGGTATGTTTGGTTGATAGTTTATGTGTATGGTAAGCTGTATGGTACACTGGTATGTTTGGTTAATGGTTTATATGTATGGTACACTGGTATGTTTGGGTGATAGTTTATGTGTATGGGACACTGGAATGTTGGAGTATTAGTTTAGCTGTATGGTACACTGGTATGTTGCAGTGATCGTTTATGTGTATGGTACACTGGCATGTTGGAGTGATAGTATATATGTATGGTACCCTGGTATGTTGGAATGATAGTTTATGTGTATGGTACACTGGCATGTTGGAGTGATAGTATATATGTATGGTACCCTGGTATGTTGGAGTGATAGTTTATGTGTATGGTACACTGGTATGTTGGAGTGATAGTTTATGTGTACGATACACTGATATGGTGGAGTGCTGGTATATATGTATGATACACTTGTATGTTTGGTTGATAGTTTATGTT